ACCAACGATATAAAACTAGATATAATATGAAACTGTAAGCTCGGAAAAAAGAATAACCAGAACTGACTACAAGCTAAAACGATATCCTAACCTAAAACAGCCACAAAAGTTGACTTTAGTAGTTGATCATTACAACAGAGTTAGTTTTGGTTTCAGTCAAAAGAAAAAACAACAGAGTTAAGTTTTGGAGTGTTCAATTGGATAAGAGAAGCCCATCTGTGGAGATTTAAAGAAGCCCATACGTCCCAATGTTTATAGCTAATTTAATTCTAATTTTTCGGCTTATAACTATAAGCCATTGCGCTACTTTTTCATGAAATTCAATATGACTGATCAAATCTTCTTACCTCTCCTATACCTTTACAAAACCGAAAGAGGCTAAGAATAAGAAAGCTGAGAGATATTGTGGACACAAACTTCACGTAGAATATTAAAAAAACATGTGTTGTCGTCTCTTTTAACTGCTTCCGTTTGCGTCACGTCACGTCCATGTTTTCGCTAGTAAGCATATCGATGTTAAATTTGCATGCAGAGTGAAGAAGAGTTCATTCTATTGCCAGTATGATCTAGAGATGGTAGACAATGGCTGTAACTGGTGAATCAAAAAATGAATAGATGGAATAGAGAGGAATGGAATAAGATGAATGAAATGCAGTATAGTAGAAAAATAGAATGAATCAATTCCAATTATTTCTAAACAAAATTACTTTGGAATGATTTGCTTTGTATTATGTTTGTTTTTTTTGGAATTGATGGAATGAGCATTCCATTCCATTCAGATTAACTGGTAAATTTTTTTTTTGGAATTAATGGAATTGGTCATTCCAAAGCATTCCATTCCAAAAATATGTAATCCAGTTGCAACCAATATGATTTTATCGACTATGGAAAATGTTAGGTTTTTTGTTGCGTAATTACAAGGTTCAAGAGGTTTGTTTGCATATTGGCAACAAGTTCATTACAAGAATCAAGAGTTTGCAAGAAACATGGTTAAGAGAACTGTAAGTTGTAACTTTCATTTTGGTCATGCACTTTCTACAATTCATGTCTGGAACTTCGAACTTCACAACTGATCACGAAGGGCCTATGGGCATGCAAATGTACATGTGCCAGACTTATTTTTCAGGATTGGCATGTTCCTAGCATCTTGTCCCACCTGAACTTGAGTTTATTTGGTGTCAGCTAAACAGCTGAATCTATTCGCTAGCGGCAAAGTAGAGTGAGATGTTGTAATGACTAATGATGTCGGAACAACTGAGGTAGGCTAAGGCTCATGCTCATTCACTACTGAAACTAATGTGTACTGTTCTTCTCTCACTTGAGAGATATTATGCCTGAAAAATGGATCATGGTTCCATCAGTTTTCTATATGATTTTGGGCTTCAAATTCATGTTTCTTGGTATTACCTTGGTCCCTGATAAACACATGCATAACAAAAGAAGTTAGTAACTCCACAGTCAGGCGTATAAGTGTTTAAGAAATGAACAGGAATATCACCTTTATAACACGTTGTGCAGCTAGACTAGAGGATATGCTATTGAAATACTTGTATGGTAACTGTATAACAGCAAGTCAAATGAATCACGTAAGTGCATTCAAGTTTGCAGTCATTTGCGAGATATCCAACATGTAAAATGGATGATTATTCAAACAAACATATATTATATTTCTTCAAATCATGTTTCATGGAGTTTTTTTGTCTTGTTTTCGAATGAATAAATGCAACAAAAAATTGGTTAGAGTCTCTACATTGTGACCGTATAAGTATGGAAGAAATTTATAAATGTGTCACTCTATAACATGTTGTGCAACAACTCTAGTAAATATGCGATCTAAATAATTGTACGGTACATGTGCACACCTCAACTCTATAACACGTTGTACATGTTCTCAAAGATGTTGGCATCATACTAAAATATACATTCAAGAAAAATTAAATATAAAAATCAGAAAACAATCAATGACTACTAAATGTAAAAGCTAAAACTAAAAGACAGTGAGTTAAATGTTTATACTGTACGTTGAAATGTTTATATATTGAGTTGGAAAACTGGTTGAAATTGTAACTAATTTTTAAGTAAGTGGTTTTTGTGTTAAGCCAAACAAACAAACTACATCTAATGAATAATATAAATTTACTTGAATGGTTTCATCCTTTTCGAAAGGTGTGATTGTTTCCAAAACTTTGGTTATCAACCGGGTTGATGCCTAATAAATAACAGGCACTAGAGTTTGATCCGCACCTCCGTGTGGATATTTTTATTTTAGTTTTTATATTATCATAAATGTTCTATATATATAATTGACATTTTAATGTTTATATATTGTGTATTTTTTTAATTTTATTGTTTAGGTTTGTTATTCAACATTATTAACATATAACGATTTGTTTTATAATTACTATGTTATTAAGTGTTACCGTATTTTTTAGTTCGATATAATAAATTCTTAATTTGAAATAATCAAACAGTTTTTTTTTTTTCAAAATATTTTTTTAATTTCTACAATTTGCATACAATACATTTTTAAAGTTTATTTATATAGTTATACAGAAAGGATATTTGTTTAGCATAATTTATATCTTCATGTTGTCTTTTAAAAAATGTACTTGAACATTTATTATTTTAATATTTTGCGGGATTTTTTAAGTAAATACAATGTTCAATTTAAATTATATAACCATATTATTTTATCAAATTTTATACATAGTAGAATCTATCATATTATTTAATAATTTTTTGGATATTGTGGTATTAAGTTTTCTGATTTTATGTTATTAATTAAGATTTCAAAATATTATATTTATTTTAATTTACAAAATAATTGACTATTCGTGTTGCATTTCAAAAATTATACTTTAACACCTAGGATTTCATATTTTGTAAAATTTGGAATACTATCATTTTGAGTTTTGAATATTTATTTTTAAAATTGTATATTTGGTGAAATTTGGAAAACAATACAAGTATTTTCGAGTTTGGAGGATTATATAATTTTGTATATTTTTTTTACTAAACTAATTCATTATCTTTTACAAATATTTTGAATTCTTGGTATGATTTTTACATTTTTCTCAATTTTTCTATAATTAATATAAACATTGAATGTATAACTCTGTTATTTAGTTAGGATTTAGAAGTCGTAGAATAATTATTTTGTTTGTATTTATAATTAGATATTACGTTGCTACAGTTGAGGACCTTAATATAGTTAAATAAGAAAATATTTTTGGAGATTTTAACTGAGGATTGTTTATCTATTCTACTATGATAAGAATTATGTAAATCGTGTTTTATTTTTTAATTGGAGAAATTTAGATTTACAAACTAAACCGATAATAAAAGATCAAACCAATTCGTCTTCTTCACTTAGTGAAAAGCATGATGAAGAAAATAGATATACTAATAATGTTTGCATGTGACTGGAGAAAAAACTTACAAGAGATCTTCAGCATAGCGCAAGGCGTACCGTCATGAATGGATCTCACAGGGCGGTTCATGGTGATGCAGTCAGACGTGAATCCGCATAAGGCAGGTAGAATTGTCGGCTGTAATATCGTCTATGTAATTTCTCATAGTTTGTAATGCATAATTATCCAGTGTTAAAAGAAAATAATGTTTGCATGTTTCTAATGATTCAATGTTAGCAGTTATTCCACAGAGACATGAACTAATACTGATTCGAAGTGATAAGTAATCTGACATCATTAATAGGTACTGCGACATGAACTAATACTGAGTTGAAGTGATAAATTGAAACAGAGAAGTTAATAGTAAAACTGAAATAATAAGTTTTGTAACATAGAGTCGCTACAAAATGCAAATTTTAATAATTTGGCCTTGTTCAAATTTCTCTTGAAATTTTGTTCCATAATTAAATCATGTATGTTCGATGGTTATGTGGTAGAAGTCAGAAAGATGATATATGTATTATTCACTTTTAACATTGTTGCTGATAACAATGTTCCAGAGTTGTAAAGGGTATACATGGTTGGTTAAAAGTGTAGATTAAATTAGATATCAATTGTATATGATGATGAATCGTTTATATGGCGGTTATTAATAATGTATATACAATTATATAACTATTATGGATTTTTACTTTTTTTATGTTACTATTTCAATGGTCTCATTAAGACTTGTTTATAGTAGATAAAAAAGTGATTCTATTTTAATAGAGTAGATCCAGTTTTGCTGAGACGGCGCATGAAGCTTGGGAGGATCTAAGACCAACATTATCGGCACTTTTTAATGGAGTTGCTTAGTAATAATGACCCCCAAAAATGAATCAAAATTAGGGAAAAATCTAAGGACATGGGTTAATTATGAACTTTTCGACGACGTCCTTAAGGGGCATGTGCTGTAATGACGGTTTCGACTTCATTCTCATCGTCTCTCTATTCTCTCTCTCTCTCTCTCGATGGTGATTTCAACCACACGGTTATCTGGTCGCTCAATCCACACCGATCTCTCATGTCATCCAAAGCTTCTCCGCCGAATCCAATCGAAACCAGGTATGTGTTCCTCCTCTGTCCTCCGTTTTGACATTTAGAGGAATTATTTGTCGAAAATAAGTCCTCCGTATCTGGGGTTGATTGGAGATTTTTGTTGTGACGATTTGATTGAATGCTTTGTGTTTGTGATTGTTCACAGATCTGTTTCTGATACTATGTTTGGTGTTTGATTAAATTTAATTGAAAATTAGGGTAGATTTAGGGATTTCAGTGATAAAGCCATTTTAAAATTCCTTTTCTTAATGAGTACGTAGTCGACGGAGTTTAACTCAGTATTTGTTTTGTAACTTGGTGATTTTCTTTGGGATACAATGGGAATCATGCTCCTGGTGCGCTGAAGAGCTTAGCGCGATTTCTTGGGGAAAATAACTTGTTTGTAAAGAGTAAGGAGTCCCATAAACATGTTCGGAAATTGACAACCCAGTTCCTAGGTTCACAAGGTTTGAGATTAAGGATGATACAATACATTGATTGGCTCGCACACACATGGAGTTAGGAGCTAAGAATGGTGGTCTTGATATCAAGGAAACATCAAGCAAGGTAAAAAAAAACTCACTCAGTTGGAGCTGTATGTAAGAAAATCAACTAGATTAGTTAAGATGGAACATCTCATGTAATAATCTTCTTCATTGTTACAGATCATAATTGAATGTCCTGCGAAGAAAGTTATGGGTGATATGGAACCTCATGCAGCAAAACAAGTAACACAATGTTGGAGATGTTTTCCTAGAGGGTGGTTTCGTTTCTCATGGAGCATACCTGGGAATGGTGTCTATAGAATGTTGAAGGTATGTGTTTTATGGGTTCATATAATCTTTATAGCTCTATATATGGAAAATGAATCGCGGCAGCGATGTTGTTTTATAACAGGCAAGAAACCAGATGATGAATTTACTAAAAGAGACTGTGTTGAAGAAGAGAGCATCAGGAGCGGAGCTTGGGGAGTTTTCAAAACCATATTTAGGGAAACAGAAGGAGGATCAAAAACGATGAGCATAGAAAATGTGATTGAGTACATATTTACTTTCTTTGTGATAGCTAACGAGACAACGCCAAGAGTCTTTGCAGCTACTATAAAGCTCATAAACAACAACCCTAAAGTCAAGCTGGAGTTGCAGAGAGAGTTTAAGTGAATAGTACGGGATAAAACAAAAAGAAAACGCCAACCTAACATGGGAAGATTACAAATCAATGACTTCACCTAGATGGTGAGTATCTGCCAAAATCACACAGCATAACTTTATAAGGATACAAAGAGGTGAAAACCCTAATTCTAGCCGCTTTGTAAGTGAGTGCTCAATTTCGGATCCCTTTCTTGCTGTCTCCTTCTCTCCTTTTATAGCATGCTTTGCTCCTCCATAATGACCTAGGTCAATATCCCTTAAGAGGCTCCTCGCCGATGGGCTTTCTGGTTGACCGATTAAGTCGTGCGCCACTCGGTTCCCTTTTGTCGTTTAGTCGCAAAGGTGGCTGAGCTTGGGCCGAGCCGAGGTGCGATCAGCTTGGGCTGACCTGGGTTACTTCTAAGTGGGCCGTTCTTGTTATTCGGTGGGCCTTGAGGGATGGAGAAATCTACTCTTACAATATTTTCACCATCATAATAAAGTATCATTTGCATACATACAAATGCTTATCAACTCTTCTCCTTAAAGATGCTTTTCTTCTTGATATTTTCTTGAAGCTAGAAGCAGCTTTTAGTTTGTTCAGTCCCTAATATTTTGGGATGAGGAGAACCCCAAGGCCCAATTAAACTCAACTCTTTTACCGATCTTTTTCTTATTTTAAAATTCATATTACAGGAGACTAAAAACCCAAAATTGGAATGAATTTACTTGGAATATATAAAATCATTCTTTTCAAACAGTAGAGGAATAAAAAGGAATATATCTAAGATCCGGGTTGAACACATAGTTTCGGTTTCGATGCTAATCGGATTATTAGTTTTAAAATACTAAATTCTACTTGATTAAATTCAATATTTTCAATCATTTCAATTAATTTGTGTATTTAACTTCTTCAAACAATATTGTTGTCATTCAAAATAATTTTGTGAAACTCGTACATCAACCATACGAGATTTGTCGTTGAACTATACGTGACAACATTAAATATAACATGATTCATGATAAATCAAAATCAAAATCTTGTACGAATGAAAATCATATATAATAAAAAAATTAAAAAATAAAGTTCACAACTAACAATTCTACCTTAAAAGAACAACCTTGTTTAAACTTCAAAACAAATTTATTCATAATTAAACTTCAAATGCAATGTAAAACATCAATACTATTAAAACATAAGCAATTTTTATCTACTTGCAAGTAGTCTACTTCAAAACATTACATTTATTTAATTTTATGTTATGTTATATATAACAAACTTAGTTATTATTAAATAACAACATAATATTAATATAATATTTAAATATATTCAAAATAAGATATCAAAAAGATATTCTTAACTACTTTTTCAGATTACAAAAAGATATTCAAAATAAGATTTCAAAATATTTGTATTATTATTTTATTATTATTTTAATAATAAAAACGAAAATAATATTAAATTAAATTATACATGAGTATTAACTCATTTTGATTTATAGAATAAGAACTAACGTTCTATCACATTTATCTATAAATATTCCATATTTTTAACTAAAATTACACAAAATAATAATTATAATATAAATTAATCTACTTTATAAATTATAAACTAGATGAATTAGATTTACAGAATAACAAAATACTACCATAAGATATTTAAAAAAAATATATTTTAATATACATATCTAAATTAACAACATTAGGATATAAAAAATTAATATTTAATTATATATAACTGATACACGAAATAATAATAAACAAATTCTTAAAATCTCAGCCAATACATAATAATATAATTATCATAGATAAAGTCTTCAAATCATTTATATATATATATATATAGTTTTTTATAAAATAAATATTAATAATAGCTACTATTAATATTTAATTATATGATGAAACATGTTATTACTGATATTTTTATGATTATAATTTTACGGGTTGTTTTAATAAACATATAAAATATTCATTTTATATAAATTAATTTAAAAAAAATTTAAACATAGTTTAAGTTATGCTTGGAGTTCAAGTACCTATTGAGATACGGGTCAAATATTTTGAATCAAAACTAATTTATATCACATCATAGGTGTCATAATTTGTAAGTAGACATGTTTGTAAGCATGGATCAAGTTCAAATATAACACTTCGAGTTTAGTTCTAATTTATACACATCATAAAACCGATAAAATAACCATATATCGTTTGGGTTCAGGTTATATTGGTTGGGAAATCTAAAATCTAAAACCAAAATTAAAAAAAAAAGATACTTATTTTCATAGAATTGGATATTAAAGTACTTTATTTACAATTTAGATAATTAATTTTAAATATCATTTTAAAATAAATATAGAACTGAATATTTAAACTAGATATTTATGTTTCAAATATTTATATTTATGATTACTTTGGACATTCAGATCGATTCATATTTTTTTCCATATTGTTTGGTTTTTGGGTTATTCGTTCGGGTCTGACTAATAACACTTTGATTCAGATATATTTTGTACCACTCTACAAAATTCATTCTGATATATTTTAGATTTTTGACCGGTTACGGATCCAAATTCTTTTGTTTAGTTGAGTTTAGATATCGAGTTATAGATTTTATGCACATGTCTACTTTATATAAAAGAAAAATGCGGTCATATAAAATTTCACCAAAAGAGTATCCTGCATTTTTTAAAATACTATGTTTGATGAAATTAATGAACTAAACAAGTCTATCCTACATTCTACATGTATAGGAAATGCGATTATATAAAGTTTGCATCAAACATAAACCCGCGCTTTGAAAGCGCGGGTCAAAACCTAGTCAATACTATTAAAACATAAGCACTTTTTATCTACTTGCAAGTAGTCTACCTCAAAACATTACATTTATTTAATTTTATATTATGTTACATATAACAAACTTAGTTATTATTAAATAACAACATAATATAGATATAATATTTAAATATATTCAAAATAAGATATCAAAAAGATACTCTTAACTACTTTTTTCAGATTATATTTTAACAATATCTTTAATATATTTTTATTTAAAAAATAAATATTTATTTTTTTGATATTATTTTAATAAAAAAATAATAAATGATATTAGTTAAATGTGTATTAACTCATTTTGATTTATAGAATAAGAACTAACTTTCTATAACATTTATATATAAATATTTCATATGTGTAACTAAAAATTACACAAAATAATAATTATAATATAAATTAATCTACTTTATAAATTATAAACTAGATGAATTACATTTATAGAATAACAAAATACTACCATAAGATATTAAAAATGAAATAATTTTATATTTTAATATACATATCTAATTAAAACATTATGATATAAAAATTAACATTTAATTATATGTAACTGATACACAAAAAAACAATAAACAATTTTTTTCAAACCTCCACCAATACATAATAATATAATTATCATAGATAAAGTCTTAAAATCGTTTATATATATAATTTTTTATAAAATAAATATTAATAATAGCTACTATTAATATTTACTTATATGATGAAACATGTTATTACTGATATGTTTATGATTATAATTTTTTGGGTTATTCCAATAAAAAAAACAAAATATTTATGAAATATAAAATTAATTTAACAAAATATAAAACATAATATAAGTTATGCTTAGGAGTTCAAGTACCTATTGGGATAGGGGTCGAATATTTTGAATCAAAGCTAATTTATATCACATAATATGTGCCATAATATGTAAGTAGACATGTTTGTAAGTATGGATCAGATTCAAATATAACACGTTGAGTTTGGTTCTAATTTTCACATATACTAAAACCAATAAAGTAACCATATATCGTTCGGATTCGGGATATATTGGTTTAGAAATCTAAAATATAAAACCAAAAAAAAAGATACTTATTTTTATAGAATTAGATATTAAAGTACTTATTTAAAATTTAGATAATTAATTTTAAATATCATTTTAAAATAAATATACAACTGAATATTTAAATTAGATATTTATGTTTCAAATATATATATTTATGATTAATTTGGACATTCAGATCGATTCAATTTTTTTCCAGGTTTTTTCGTTTTTTGGTTATTCGTTCGGGTCTGGTTAATAACATTTTGATTCGGATATATTTGTACCATTTTACAAAACTCATTCTGATATATTTTAGATTTTTTGACCGTTACGGATCCAAATTTTTTTGTTTAGATTGAGTTTATATGTCGAGTTATGGATTTTATGCACATGTCTACTTTATATAAAACAAAAATGTGGTCATATCAAATTTTCACTCAAAGATTATCCTGCATTTTTAAAAATACTTTGTTTGATGAAATTAATAAACTAAACAAATCTATCTCACATTCTACATATATAAGAACTGCGATTATATAATGTTCGCATCAAACATAAATCCGCGCTTTGAAAGCACGAATCAAAATCTAGCCAAGACATTAAAATTAATCAAATAAAAATATATATTAGGCTATTTAGTTAATTATTCATGTAATAACCAATTATTGTAGGTACTTAATAAAATCTTAGTGTGTTTTGGATATATATTAGAAATGAGACTGCGTATGGTACAAATATTTTTGGAATTTTGAAATTTCGATTTCTTTCTCAGGTATCAATTTAAATTCGGCGGGTTTGGTTCGAGGAAAACTCATAATTCAAAATACCGTAAAACAAGATCTATTTGGTACTTATGTCAGATTCAGATCGGTTTGAATTCATTTCTATAGGTTCAGATTTACTTCGGATTTTCGGGTTTAGTTTAATTGCCTAGTCTTATGTAAATCATTATCTTTTCAAACAGTAGAGGGATAAAAAGCAACCCTAGAAAGTATAAACAAAACGGTAACAAAGCTCAGAGACAGAGAGTCGTGACAACGGCGGAAAATATGACTAACCTATCTCCGGAATTCGATCCTAGATCTCCCTACTACGTCGATTCAGATTTTGAATCCAACGAGATTATCCCTATGGTTAGACTAAGCCAAGCCGACGACAACTACTTCATCTG